GATTCCACCGTTCAAAAGCCGTCAGAATCTGGAGAAAAGTCACAGAGGGCCAAAATTGCAGTATATTAGGAGTCGTTATCCCACGTGCGGTCACACTAATAGGCAAATGCGAACATAAGGTAAAGAGCAGAGGCATATGAAGGAAGGTAATGTGAGCAGACTAATGGAAGTAATAGTCAAGAAATAATTGGCAGTGGTCCGAGTGCCTCCAGTCATCAGGAGCGGGTCGGAGCGGAGGAGACCATACCCACGATGATAACTTGATCCGGCGCAATCAGTGTAAGCTGTGGGAATAAAAATGGAGCGCAATAACAGATAAGGCCATGGATAAGAGGAATATAAAAGCAACAAGTGTCTGGACGCAAGTGGAAGAGAGCGAAGTCGCTGCCAGACCATGGTCGGAAATGGCACGGACCTCTGGGAGCAATTCGTGGGTAGAAGAACTTTCAGATAAGAATAGATTGGTCGGCGCACTGAGAATGGGCCGTACAATTGTGGTGAGAACAACGGTGGGGAGGGTCAGTGGAAATAGACAGGTTAAATATCAAAGAGGCTATAGTATATAGGGGTGATGAATTCCGGCAAGCCTCTCGAAGTGAGGGAAACCGATCAGACGACACTTCATTAATGGGTGCATTGAAATTGAATCGTGCAGATAAACTGGAAAGAAAATTGAGAGGATCAGCAGTAAAGGGTAAGAAAGAAAGGAAAGAGGTGGTTTTGACATTGCATGAGCAAGTTCAGCAGATTCTTGAGGTAATAAAACAGCATTGAGACCTCAGAGTCTAGACCGTTAACATCCCGGTGGACTGGAAGAAGTCACAGAAACGTGGACTAGTTAGCTAAGCCTAGGTTAACGTAGAGCACTGAGATTTGGCTGCCCGTTTGAAGAATGGAAAACCAAGAGCGCAGCAAGATGACAGTCAGGATGAAAAAGGATTACTGCTAAAGTGTAGAGAAGCTAACGTTGCTCTCTTACAAAGGAGTATGGATCGTTCAGTCTTCCGAACAACGGCCGGCATTGTTACCGTCTGAGAAAATTCCGTAAGCAACAACCGAGCAGAAAAGACTGGATTAGTCGACGCAGTGCGATTGAGTTATACAGCTAATTTTGGAGGACATATGGAGTGCGTTAAGAGGTTGACAGGTTTGAGATGGAAGTGTGTATATTACTAAAGAGTAAACAAGTCCAGCAGGCTGTCAAAACGAGGGAGCTTTAGCTCTGAGTCTACAGTGCGCAGACCGAGTATATCTCGGTAGTTTGGCAGAAGACCAAGAAAATCATGCTGGTCAAATAAGACTAGGTTAATGCACAGCACTGAGAGTTGGGTGTCCGATTGAGCGAAAGTCATACTTGGATAATTCAAAATGTGTGTCTGGCGAATTTACTTGAGGATAGCTGTTAGAGTAGACAGCAGTCAAGCTATTGAGGTGCTTCCCGTTAACTTCGTACCAGCCACTGATACTGCCTCGCAACAAAAACAGCAACCGTTAAAGTTCTATGCGTATGCGATACTTAATTAAGCTCTTAAACGGGTGTTTGATTTACTAGAGGGAAGAGAACGGTGTGTACGCGTAAGTCGTAGCCTTTGCTCAGACAAGCTGTTGTCAGTAGTTTTCCGCTGGGCTGGATTTTAGGGCTGTTGCTTTCCGCAAGTCATATCAATGACCCACCCAAGGAGCTTGAAGTACTGTCTTTATTTATTTGCAGATGAGCTCATACGCTGGAATACTGTGGATATCCTAGGGGCTCGGAGGCAATGCAGCAGGCCTTGGAAAGGCTGTGGGATTAGTCAACCCATGTTTGATGCTTCTAAATCAGGCGAAAGCCTCTGCCTTCTGCATTGAAGCTGCTAGTCCCCCACCCACTAGTTTGGTAGAAATGGCATCCCTTTTCTCGCTCAGCAGGTGGATCTAGGCGTCGTCCACCCTTCAGTGCATCAAGCTGGAGACTGGATGAGGAACGCTGCTTGCAGCTGGTTTCGTATGCTGTGGTATATTCGGCGTTCCTCCGGTGTATTAACGGCCGATAATTTTGTGGGTATCAGTTTAGTGCCGGGTTAGCGGGACGAAGGTATCCTGAAAGCTTGCTTAGCGTAGTTATATGGCCAAAACACTGCCGTAGAATTAAAGGAGGCTGTATCCTCACTGACCGTATCTTAGCGGGTAAGATAGGTCTTTTTCAGCTGGATAAATTTCATTCCGCTTTATTTGGTTTGTTCTGCCTCCCTGAATACTGTTCTATTAACTGGCCACGTTGCTTACACTAATTGCGCTTATCTTCGGTAATTTTGTTACGTTTGTAGCATTTCAAGTAACTTGTGGACATTTCTTACTTATCACGGATTTGTTGCTGACCAACTTACTTCATATGGTAATTTAGTGAAGAGTTATGCCACCGTATCTGTATGCATTATTGGATTTATTTTATTTCAGCTTGTCGTTTAAATTGAATGGCTGTAGTTTGATATCCCTGGTATGGTTGCGCTTGATGTGTATCTTGACAAGGTGCCTACCTGTCTATTACCCACTACCTCGTCCATACTGGCTTCAGGGGACAGTTGGTCGTTGCTGGAGGGGACGGGGTGCACGGTTCTTGTGGCCGTGCTAGGCTCGAAGAGCGGCTCCATGCACTCAGTGTGGAGCGGACTACGGTCCAGCCACCGTCTTGTGTGCGGTTGATTCCCCAAATACAGCGTGATTGTGTTTGCCTGTGAAGGAGTGTGGGCCGGCTCCGTTGATGAAACGTGGTTCCCATTCGCATTCCTCCCGGTCTTATTCCTTCGGGTTTACACTGGATATGGGGTATGTGGTTGGAGCTGTGGGTGGTGCAGCGCAAGCCATCCATGGTCCCTCTGTAGGCGCAGGCGTCCTGTGGCTTGCCACAGTGACAGGCAAATCCGAAACCGGATGCCGCCAACCAAGATAGGTACAGACTTGTCCTGGTTATTTAATCCCAGCTAGCCGTATCAGCGCCAGTGGGATTGAAGATGAGATCACGAATCGTATAGCAAAAGCTCGAATCAACGTTGCTAACCTTCGCCACTTATGGCGTCGGCGCGACTTCACTCTTGCCCTAAAGAGTAGAGCGTACAATGCAACAGTACGTTCGACCCTACTGTACGGTTGTGAATACTGGCAGATTAGAGCAGCGGATCTGAAGAGGCTAGTTACGTTTGACCACTGGTGCCTTCGTAATCTAGCTCACATCTGGTGGGAACACCGCGTGAGCAACGAGCGTGTTCGGAGCATTGTTTATGGCAGAGGAAAAGCAACTGAACCGCTCAGCACCGTCATTGCACGCATCAGGCTCCGATGGCTCGGCCACGTGTTACGCATGCCAGTCCACCGACTTTCGCGACGAGTTTTGTTTGCGCGCCAGGGGTGTGGATGGAAGAAAAGGAAGGGTGGTCAAGCGATGACTTGGTTCAAAGGAATGAAGGCTCTCACTCCTGCGCTGGCCTCGGTTGGAACGTCTCGGCTCCCTGGTTGGGGTCCGAAAGACGATGAACACGTTTGGTTGGGCACACTTGCTGACATGGCAAGGAGGCGACCTCAGTGGCGTTCGTGCTGTGAGTTTCTTTGTCCCACCCCATCCCTCTTAACCTCCCCCCAACCACGATCTCATTATTTAGCCTTAAATAATTTTGCACAGTAATTTTTTGGTGCACAGCAGCCGGCTGGTAGCTTACCGGCACGATGCCCATCCGTTACCGGTAGCTCAGCCAGCTTGCACCAATTGCTTTTTCTCCTTTTTCTGTGTATTGCAGCACAGTAGCTGAGGTGTTCCCCACCTCTAGCTAACGTGTATGATGATGATGATGTCTAGCTTTAGAAGTCATGCGTTAAAGCAGCATAGCTTGTGTTCTGAGAGGGTAAGGACGGAACCTCGTTTGTCTCGCCGGGTTACTGGACCTTGGAACGCGCTTCCGGAGCACTTCGTTAGGAAATTTACGTTTCAGGGTTGCGAATTTCAGTTGGATGTTGTTGGATGGAAGTACCACACATCTTTACTTGTTCTTCACATTATTCTACGTTCATTTTTTGGTTCGTTGCACACTTTAGTATTAGCGTTTTTACCTGAGATGACACCACTTGCTTTCTTGGCTTACAGTTCGCTCTTTCTTACTTCATATAAAGCGGCACGACAAAGACATTTTGGGTAGGAAATGTGGGCAGTATTTGGTTGGATAGTGTGAGGCAGTCTTGGTTTTAGGCATTACAACTTCTCAAGCTGACCTATCAATTTCCGGTGCAAAGTTACACAAAGGAAGGAACATACACGGAATTCTCCTACCATTCCGGACCCAAATGAACTTGAACTTGAACTTAACGCAACCTCTCCCTTTCGAGGAGGTGGAGTGAGTCATTCATTCAAGAGCGGGAAATGAGTGCCATATGCATACCAAACACTTGGCATGACCGGCTGCTTGGAACCGGGTTTTTCATACGTGCGCAACGACCATAAATAAACTTTTGCCTTTAACCTCAAATTGTTACACTTTATATTAGGCACAATTTTATGTGAAGTTTTGCATTCCTGATGTAAGTGCTATCACAAAAAGCCGCTGGTAACAAGCCTAAGAAGCAACAAACATTTTAATGTCGACTTAATGCGGATTGGGGAAAAATTACCCATGCATTATGGTGCACTGCTTCATTCCACTTCGTAACCTCACCATTGTACATTGATGGTTAATTTGCTTTCTTTCTTCGCCTGCAAGTAAAGCACGTACAGCCAACACATGTATGGTTGGCGATGGTTTCACCAAAAATTATTAGCCTGATAGACCGCGGTGATGATGTAACTTAAGTTTTTCTGTTCTAAGTGAAGGTCGTTTGGATTAAGGCCGCCGTACTTTTAAAGGTCGTTGTCACGGCCGTCACATTGAGGTCACGTTACGGAGCTAACTGCAAGTTGATTGGTTAGCTCAAGGATTCAACGCCGTTGGTTTGTAGCCACCTGTGCCAGTCTACCAATTGATCTACTAGCGCCTTTGATGGACACGACCGTGGACTTCGATAGTATCGACGCACTTCTGAAGGCGGCGGAGATGCTTGAGAGAAAGCTTTCTGCAGTAAAACCTCTAATTATGAAGGACGATGCAAATCCACTTTGCCAAACCAATTCAGTGTCTTGTCCTGTATCTGGTCTCTTGGACCCACAAGCATGTCTGAATGCGCTAATGAGGTACTGCTCGATATTTTATGAATTTTTTCCAGCTTTAATATTCTTGCTTGCAGTCAGAACAAGACTACTAGTGGTTTGAACAATGGGTATATTTCATTTACGTACAATAACAAGTACTCGCTGTAGGATTATTGCCGAATACTCATCCATCAATAGTCCGCTAGCCTCAGCTAACTCCGAGACTGCGCAGGTTCTCAAAGATGGCTTCGAAATCCCAGAGGTAAGATCCACCTTGAGGGTGAATTCACAGGTTTGCCTACTTAAGTTCCCTGTCCACCCATTTGCTTGCCGACTCCAGATCTTCTCCATGTGATATTCCTTAGCTATTTAGGTTTAGGGCCTTTTTACATTTATTTCAGATGGTGTAGAGACATAAGAGATTCTCATGGTCGTTCCATCCTGAATGCGTCGTTGATCCACATTCGAGTTCGGTGTGCGATTGGCCAGTTATATGATTCAAATCAGCACGTGCAACACACGTCGTGGTCAAGCAATAAAGGCCCACGCGCCCTGCACTAGCAGACCCTGTTGTGCCGGCCACGCAATAAAAAAAGTAAAGTAAAATTGTAGTCTAGACATAAAGTGGGAGGGATACAAGGTTCGAAGGAACTTAGTACGAGTAATTAAGAAGGAAAGGAACTGAATAGCAGTCAAGAGAAGAATTAAGAGCACGAAAAGGTTTGGAACTGCAAATTGAGGGTATCAGGGAAATGTTAAAACTGTATCAGAAACAATTTCAGAATCAATTTATTAGGAGAATAAGATAGGAATCTATGTGCTCTTCATCATAAGTAAAGTAAAAATGACCCATGCCGAATATGGGTCTGTGTGAATGCACATCAATAGTCGTTTAGTAACAAGCAAACAAAATACCGATATATAAGCACAAAGAATGCACTACGTGTCTTGGTGTTTTAGGGTTGCTAGTGTAACCGTGACATAACCACACGACGAAAGGAGGTCAAACATGACGTCTGCATCGAAGCACAAGTCTGAAAAATGTTTGTCAATGCTTCGTTTGAAACACTGCACTGAATCAGAAAGAACAACGGAACTGGGCAACCAGTTCCAGTAATGTATCACACGTCGCGCGAAATAATGAATATGAGTGACATTGTCCATACGTGGAACTTCCAGCTTGTAAGAATGCCCTCGGATGATAGGTGCATCCACAATACAGAACATATGTCTCAGGTGAGGAAAATGTCTCAGATGAAGGATTCTAAACATTGTAATGAGGTCAATTCGTAATCTCCTGTATACTAGTGTATGGAGACGTAACTTGTGGCACCTCTGGTAGTAAGATAATCCTCGGAGCGTGGGGATCAGGCGGGTGACTAGGTGCTGGACTTTTTCCAGTTTTCTCATCTCACTTTTTGTACTTGGATAATAGGCCGGTGTCCCGTATTCTAAAAGCGGGCGCACCATGGAGACGTATAGCCTAACAGCAATTTCCTCCGACCAAACGTGGAAGATCCGCTTTAATGACCAAAACATGCGAAGGCTGGAACAGTAGACCTTGTGCGTATTGTCTGACGATTTTAAGTCCCATCGGGATAGTACTCCTAGATCTCTAACCGTCGCAGCCGAGCACAGTAGACGTCCACCGACACTGTAAGTTCTGTCCCGACAGCACTTGCCAATGCGGAGCAATTCGGACTTTTCAGCAGTCAGTGGAAGGCAGTTTGTTGATGCCCATGAGGAGATTGTATCGAGATCACTTTGCAGTATATCCTCATCGACGGGGGTCGAAATTTCCCTCCAGACTTTCAAATCATCTGCGCACAGCGCGCAAGTAGATGTCAAACGTCCTGGTAAGTCGTTGATATGAAACAGAAAAAGCGTTGGGCCAAGTACTGTGCCCTGTGGCACACCACTAGAGGCAGTACACCATTTTGTTCGGTAGTCATTGACCTGGACACACCACTGCCGCTTGTCCAGAAAAGACAGAATCCATTTCAGCAATTTTCCACCCACGCCATAACTGTTGAGTTTAGATAGCAAGATAAAGTGAATCACTCTATCAAATGCTTTGCTAAAGTCAGTCAGCAAGGCATCAACGCTCCTACCGTCATTAACTGCTTCAATCCAACTGTCTCGGGAAGTCAGAAGATTCGTGGTACAAGACCGTCCTCTTAGGAAACCATGTTGAACTGATGTAAGCACACCGTGTGATTCTGTGAACTCAAGCAGCGCCTTCTTGACCTCTTTCTCCAGCAATTTGGTCAGCACTGGTGTCAGGCAAATCGGTCTATAGTTCTCTACTCTGCTTCTGTTTCCTCCTTTCGGGAAGGGCCGTACGATCGCTTGCTTCCATTCACGTGGGACGTTCCCTTGTGTCAAAGAGGCCTCGAACAATTCCGTCACTACAGGTGCGATAATAGGTGTATGCCTTTTGAGAAGTAGTGGATGCAAGCCGTCATGTCCTGGCGGTTTGGAGCAGTCTAGATTAGCAAGCAATCCCATTACTTGGTCCTCTGAACAGGATACTGTATCCAGTTTGGCGTCGACTTGGGTACACTGAAATGCTGGAGAAGCTGAGTCGAACACTGACTCGAAATGTGAAGCAAGTGCGATAGCTCGGTCCTTGTCGGCGGTCAACAGTGCACCAAGCGAATTTTCCAAAGCAGGTAACTCGTCAGTTGGCTTAAGCTTGCGCTTGATGTATGCAAAAACCTTTTTGGGTGCCTTCTTCGCATTTGCTGATAAGCGTGTTTCATAAGCCGCACGCTTCTGTAGTTTCACTGAATTGCAACAGTTTGCGTTTTGTAAGCTGTGTAATCCTCGGCGCTATGAGTGTGTTTGAACCTCTTCCACAATTTTGCACGTCGCCTCGACATGACAACATATTCGCTATCCATCCATGGCGGCCTCTTCCAACATTTTATTGGTGTTAAAGGAGCAAATTGGTCTAGTAACTGAACAAGGTTTTGCTTCAGCACCTCCCAGCACACTTCAACACCATCATTCAAAGGTAATGACCAGTCCATGTGTTCCGCAGTACTCATCAACCGATCCAAGTTTGCTTTCTAAATGTTACGACGGGGTATTCGTAATGATACAACACATGGCAAACGTAGGACGGCTGAAATCGTGGAGTGATCGCTGGACCCAATCGGTTCAAATACTTTAGCGGATTCGACATGTTGCTCATCGTTCGTGAAAAGGAGATCAAGACAGCTTTCAGGTTGCCCCGAAAGCTTCCTTGTTGGTTGCAGGATATGTTGCACAGCGTGCATCTCCGCCATTGTATCGACAAAAGCGCATTATAGATTACTACTGCCAGGTAGAGCTTTATAATGCGCCAATCAATGTGTGGAAAGTTAAAATCACCAAGCAACAGAAAATTTCGGCAGTTCAAGCGCTGCTGCACTACGTCGATCCAATCACGGGAAGTGTTTGAAGGACTCCGATAAATGGCTCCCACTCTCAGTTCATTCTGCCCAACAGTAACTCTGCACCAAAGTTGTTCGCATAGGCCGTCAGCACTATAATGTGTAGATATGAGTTCCCCTCTCATGCTGGACTTTATATATAACAATACACCGCCATGAGCGCCCTTGGGTCGTTCGCACCGAAATGTCGTGTATCCATCGATGTGAATTTCAGGATCAGTAATATCACCGTGGAGCCATGTTTCAGTCAGACAAACTAAATCTGGGCAATGTTGCTCTACCCAGAGATGTACCTCATCAAATTTATTGGTGAGGCTGCGAACGTTCGTAAGCGCCACTGTGGGTGACTATACCATGTCTTCGGGTAGCGCATTTCAGGAATTTATCACTACGCGACAAACGAATGTCAGCCCAAACCCGATCAGATAGGAATTTGTGCAACTTCAACGGATGTCCACGAAAAGTAGGTGACTGCGCAACATGAGAAGCCAGGGTAAACCGACCTATCCGCCTTGGTGGTATACGATAAGTGAGTACTAAATCTCCATAGACGGCGGTATTGCAGTGAGAACATTCGTAGCTTGAGCAAGCTGTCAGGATAAGACAGGTGCCACAGCCCTCGGCACATTTTGGTACCACTCCTCAAGACCCGCTTTACTGCTTTCAAAGCAGCAAGGGGAGACGATCAGAACTCGAAGTGCCGGGGGCTCTGGTTCGCTTACCGGTACAAGAAACGACGCTGGTTAGGCTGAAGTCTGTGTCGTCTTTGGGTCTTGACCTGACCTTTCACGAGTCAGACAGGGAGGACGAACCTGGACACTACCCCAGATGCTGTCTAACAAAGGCCGTAAACAATATAATAAACATTTCTTCCGTCACCATCTTAAATGACCCACGGATCATCCAGAGGGTTCGGAAACCCTTGCTATCCGTTCGTTCCTAATGCTCGCTGGATTTGAACTTCGGAGCTAACGTAACACTTAAGTCAACTTGCCGGGACACATAATTTGTTCCGGCCAAGCTTGTAATGCATTATCGGGCTATTTGATCCTACGCGCAGAACCGAACACCTTGTGTGGTTTATTGGCATCTGCCACAGAACGGACCAATCTAGGAGTCTATCGAGAGCTTGGCAGCCACCAGAATTGCTCACCGTGCATCAGAACTTCAAGTCGCCTGCGAACATGAGAGTAGGCGCCCCCCCAGCACTTCCGGCAGTTCGTTAACCTACACAGCAAACAGCAGCGAACCAAGGACTGCTCCCTGTGGGATGCCACTCAGAACAGCTTGTCGTAAGGAAAGACTAGTGCCTACTAAAACATATTTCTCTTCCTTCAAGAAATGCTGATAGCCATTAAAGCAGTGTCCGAAGACGCCGCAGAAGCGCAACTTAAGGGAAAGACGAGAATGTGGTACAGAATCAAACGCTTTGGAGAAGTCAGTGAACATTACCTCTACCGCTTGACCCCGATCGACAGACTCCGCCCAGCTCTCTCGACTAACCAGTAGATTGGTCAGACAGGAATATCCTTTACGAGAACCATGTTTTAATGGGCTGAGAATGTCAAACGCTCAGAAATCGTTTTCGTGGGCATCCTTCACCAGCTTTTCTAGCACGCTGATTAAACTAATGAGCCTGTAATTTCCAGGAAAGTGCTTATCACCCTTTTTAAAGGGGGGGGGCAGACAACAGCTATCTTCCAGTCCGCTGGCAAGAGACTTTTCGAACAAGCACGTTATCGACTCACAAACTTCATTTGCTACTTCATATAGCAACCGGATGTATGGCATCGATACCAGCGGCTTTGATAGGATTTAGCCCTAG